CCTCCTTCCCCTCCTCTATCTCCTCCTTCTGCCCCTCGTCCTCCTCTCCTCCTCCTGCTTCCCTTCCTCCTCCTCCTCCTCCTCGGTCTCCTCCTCCTCGTCCTCCTCTCTTCCTCCTCCTCCTCCTTCCTCAAGCCATTCAGGCTCAGGTTCATTTTGCGTTTCTGACCTGCCTTGATATCATTGTTTTTGATGGGGGCTCGAGTCAAGCGCGAACTCCCGGCAGCAAACTGCCCCAGTACCTCCACGTGATGCTTGGGTCTCGCAGCAGTGACTCGTTATATCATCGCTCATAGGGGTTAACCCAAACTGAGGCTGCTACGTCCAGAGCAGGGTCATCATCGATGCAGGGGGTGCAACGCATGTGAGTTCAACAAACGGCTCGACCAGAGGAAACCGACATGCCCGCGTTGCAGCAGACGCATGTGATTGCATCGAGGCCGCTCACTTTCGCCCAGCACTTCTGGTGTGCGGTTCAGCGACAAGGAGGTGATCCACATCGATGATGGGCAGTCGCGCGTGGACCACCGTGGCGCCAAAGGCGGCAAGGACTTTCTCCAACACCTTCGGCAGGCACATGCAGCTGCCAAGCACCCTGACATGCAAGCCATCCCCCAGGCGCAGAACACGCGCTTGTCCGTCCTCTCGCCCGAGGCCCGCTAGGCCAGGGGCATGGTGGTGCAGACCATGAAGCACGCATATGCAACAGGAGGTGCGGCAGCTCACAGACACAGCCAGCTCGTCAACACCATTCTCAAACTCCGTTGGAGCTTGGTCGCAACAGAGGCCAAGGAGGCCGAGGCAGCGCGCAGGTGGCCAAGGTGGAGTCCATCAATTAGGAGGCCGCCGAGGCGTTGGCCAAGGCTCAGTGCGTGGGTGGCAACCACGCCAAGGCTGGCAGCCAGGGCCCCGCCCCAGTCTTCACCGTGACCTGGGACCCGAGGCTGTTCGCGAAGACCGGGGACCTCGACTTCGCCGAGGGTGGGCAAGCAGAGTTCGACGCGGCGAGGACGGGGTTTGGGGGGTTCAACGAACAGTTCGGCACCAAGGGCCCGCAGGTCCAGGGCCCCATCGAGCGCGCCCGCAGGGTGCGCAGCGCTCGGGAGGAGCGGCGCGAAGAGCAGCGCCATGGCCGAGGCCGCCAAGCGCTCGACCGCCGGGCTCGCCGCCTAGGGTGCCATGGGCGAGGTCGACGGCGCTGGTGGCAGCAGCGGCACTGCCTCGAGAGCAGGAAGGGGCCCCGTGCCTCACATCGGCTCGTCGCCGAGCAGCCAAGTGCCCGCCCACTCGAGGGCGGCGCCGCCCCGCAGTGCCCGTGCCAGCTTCCTTCTCTCCGGCAGCATTGCGACCATGGGCGGCAAGTGTTGGGAGTGCCTGGGCGCCTGTGGCGACGACGTCCTGTTCGAGACACGTGCTGGACACGCTGACGTGAGCAGCTGGCAGTCCCGTGATCGGTCCTAGCGAGGGAAGATGGTTAGCAGTCGTTCCGACCGTTCCGACATGCTCCGCCTGACGGGCGTCGCGACTCACCAGACTCGATAGCCGCAGGCCGCACGAATTAGGGAGGCGAGTGATTCCTGTTCAAGGGACACCTCCGGACACATGCGTTACATGACGACGTCCAAATATCTTATATGCAAACCAGGCCTTGCAGTTCGCATTTCGATGGCTTTCTCCTAGTCGCCAGTCGCTTCAGAGGGTATCCCCCGTCCCCTGTTTATGGAGTTCCCAGCGGGGCCCAGCTGAGCTCCCTCCAGCTGCCTTGGGCCTTCGTCGGAGACGGCTGCCCCCCCTCAGGTCCTGCGTGGCTCTGTGTTCCGGAGCGAAGATGGAAGTAAGATCAGGCGTGCCGATGTCGAACACAACGTGTGACCCTTGAAGGGGAAGTACCTTGCGAATTGCCCAGCTGCCAAGGCGTGCGTCTGCCACGCAGAAGCTGTCCACGACGCCCAGTGGAAACTTCACCTTGCTTTAAGAATTCGTTTTGTCGAGTCTGGGGGGGGGGGGGCTCCTGGCCTGAATGGCCGAGTGATTGAGCTTCCGAGGCGGCCCCCCAGCGTCGGCCAGCCCTCCCTGAACCTTGCCCCAGGCTCCAAATCCAGCCTGGCCATGGCCCAGATGGCTGAGAAGGCTAGAGAGGGGGCCGAGAGGGAAGAGCATGCCTGTTGCGTCACCACTGGGATTCTCTCGACCAGCAATCGCGGCGACGACCGCGATGACCAGTCCACCCGTGCAGGAGAGCCCTCGAACGCAGAGTCGCACGGTCGAGTCAGAAGAAGACCCGCTGGCTGACGAGAATGTTATTCGGCCGGCAGCGTGTGGGCAGCGCCCAGCAGACGGGGCGGCTCTTGGGCCTCCGCAGTCGGGGCCTCAGTCCACGCGCGCTTCAGTCTCGGGCCTTTCTTGGCAGCGCCCGCGCAGGGGGGGCCCGAGTTTCGCGTGGCTTCTGTCCGAGAGTAGCAGAGCAACAGGAGGGCGCCCGCCCCGTGATCTGAGCTGCTCGCGTTGGACTCGACGCTCCGCCGCCCTGCAGAACATCTACCGACGCGAGGCGAGAGACAGCGGTCAGCGGCAGCTCGCCCAGCGCTGCGCCGCGGGGGCCAAGCTCCACGCCGACCCGCCTCTTCGGCCTACCTGTTCAAGCAGCTGGCGCCCCTCGTGCACGGGGCGAGGTCGCCTGATCACAGTGGGCCATTTCCTCGGCAACATCCAAGGGGCCACCGACGTCCAAGTGGTGGCCTTCGCGGGCAAGGCAAGCGGCGCCGCGTGCCGTGCCCAGCAACGCGCAGCGCGGGCGCTTCTTTGCGGGTTCCGAGTGGGCCATCACGGAGGGCGCCATCGGGGCACTGCATCACGAGCACAACGGCCACAGCCGCAACCGGCCAAGTCAGCGCAGGCAGGCAACGAGACTATCGCGCACCCGCGCAACCTCGTCGACCACGAGGGCGGCGCCGCCAGACCAGGGCCAGAGCTTTGGGGGGGGATTGTGGGGGTCGGGCGCAGGGTCATGGCAGTGGTGTCTTTTTGGGCCACGCATGGGCGATGCATCCTCGATTGCTGTGTTCGGCGCGGGAACCGCTTGAAGCTTCCCGTCTGCGCCCGCGCGCGAGACTCGAGGGTGGACGAAGCAAGGGGACGGGGGGCAACGCGCGCTGAGGGCACAAGAAGAAGAGGTTAGAATGCATGCGACGGGGTGAGTGTCAAAATCTGCCCAGCCATTCTGACGCGCGGAACGCTGCGCCTCAGTTTGGGGGATCTTGAGGGCCAGGGCAAAATGTGAATTTACATTGTAGGGGAAAGCAATGTGTGTATTCACATTTTGGGAAATAGGAGCATGTGAAAGCACATTTGGGAAACATGGAATATGTGAATTCGCAATTTAGAATTGTAGAAGGAATATTTATGACAGGGGCCAGAATGTGAATTCACATTGTAGGAAAAAGGACACGTGAATTCACATTTCGGGGACAAAAGAAAATATGAATTTACATTCTGGGAGAATCGCGGGACCCATTTCAAATCTGTCTTAGGGGTCGACAAGTCATCGTTTGCGAACGTATGCGGTCATCAGTCGCACAATCAAGATGCACTTGCACTCCGCTTCGCCGCCCCACGCGCGATATGCAAGAACGCCCGCGCGCATGAACGATAATGGGTGGACGGCGCGTTTGCCCGCGCGGGCAACGCGTGGGCGCGTGCGGTTGGCCCTCCTTGACCGCCAACATTGGATGCCAATCGTGCCCGATCACATACATGAGCGACTTATCGAGCATGCATGGGCCAGTCAGCCCCAATTGCAGACTTGAGGCAGACCCCTTCTTTCGCCTTCCAAGAGCTTGACGGATCTTTTCCTCCAGATCCGCGATCGGGCGCAGGAGCGAGGGCTGCCGCCTCTCGCGAGCAAGGTCGGGGGGGGGGGGGGGCGGAGTGGGGGGGCGCGGCGACGGCGAGCCTCCATTGCCATGGGGGTCGTCCGGCTTCGCCCACCCGAGCCTCCCGGCTCCCCGACGGCGCGCCTGAGAGAGGCCCCCCCGTCCCCTGCCTCGCCATGCAGACCCGCATGTGGCCGCGCCAGCTGTTGCTCGCGACGGGGGTCACGCGGGCAAAGAAGGACAACGGCGAACGAGTCATATTGGAGGTGGATGGGCCATGGCCCATGTCCCGTGAGGACGCAGTTCAGAAGTGACATCGAACATGCTTTGCCCGCTGGCATGCGGCTGCCAAAGGTAACTCAGCTCTTCGCGAGGCCTGCGATCGAGCGCTACGCGAGGGGCTAGTGGGCTGCGCCCAGGCCCCACAGGGCCGCGGATTGCTGCGTGGATGGCAATTTTACGAATCGGTTGCGCGGGTTACCTTGGGGGTCTAGCCCTCGCCCTGGACTTCCCCGCAGCGGTGCCCCCCCTCGAGATTCGGCAACGCGCGGCTTATAAGTCATATCGCTACGCGACGAGGTAGAGTCTCCAGAGTCGCTTCCTCTTCCTATTGGTCCTAGGGCAGCTGAATTCCTCCGTTAACATTATATATATGTTTTGACCACCTCCTCCTCCTCCTCCTCCTCCTCTTTCTCCTCCCCGCCTTCACTTCGGCGCGCCCTTCGCCCTCTTTGTGGCCCCATGTCGAGCCCGAACTGAGACCAAAATGCCCGTGCTTGCATGCGCTTCCGCCTCTCATATCGGCGCGCCCCTCGCACGTCTCGTGGCCCCGCAGGTGGCCGAAATTTCGTACGAAGCGCCGAACTTCACATCGGTTCCCGCCTTTCATTCCAGCACGCCTTTCGCGCGCTTCGTGACCCCATCGGGGGCCGACGCTAAGGCCCAAATTCAAGAGTTCACATGAGTTTCCATTTTTTGATGTCGGCACACCCCTCTTGCTCGCAGCCGCGTTTGGTCGGGTCCCTC